ATGACAACGTTTTCATTGGTCCCTCTTCTTTAGAGAAGACCAGGAAATGATGGATACACGGATCGTGTTCAAATCAATAGGCACGCAATGACTCTAAATAATAATGATCACGCCACCAAACACACATTCAAACTAAGGAACCAGCCTGTTTGGGAAATGTGAGAAGTAGAAAGTACAGGTATTTGTGTTCAACATGTAAGAAGTAGAAAGTACAGGTATTTGTGTTCAACATGTAAGAAGTAGAAAGTACAGGTATTTGTGTTCAACATGTAAGAAGTAGAAAGTACAGGTATTTGTGTTCAACATGTAAGAAGTAGAAAGTACAGGTATTTGTGTTCAACATGTAAGAAGTAGAAAGTACAGGTATTTGGGTTCAAAATGTAAGAAGTAGAAAGTACAGGTATTTGGGTTCAACATGTAAGAAGTAGAAAGTACAGGTATTTGTGTTCAACATGTGAGAAGTAGAAAGTACAGGTATTTGGGTTCAACATGTAAGAAGTAGAAAGTACAGGTATTTGGGTTCAACATGTAAGAAGTAGAAAGTACAGGTATTTGTGTTCAACATGTAAGAAGTAGAAAGTACAGGTATTTGGGTTCAACATGTAAGAAGTAGAAAGTACAGGTATTTGTGTTCAACATGTAAGAAGTAGAAAGTACAGGTATTTGTGTTCAACATGTAAGAAGTAGAAAGTACAGGTATTTGGGTTCAACATGTAAGAAGTAGAAAGTACAGGTATTTGTGTTCAACATGTAAGAAGTAGAAAGTACAGGTATTTGAGTTCAACATGTAAGAAGTAGAAAGTACAGGTATTTGTGTTCAAAATGTCAGAAGTCAAAGTAAAAAGTCGTCAGAAAAATAAGTAGTGGAGTAAAGTACTGATACCAGAAAAATGTACTTAAGTACAGTAACAAAGTATTTGCCGCACACACACCCCTCCCCTTGCCCTTTAGGCTCCTCTCTGCAGACTCAGGCAGAAATACCGCCTCAGGAATCTCCTGCCGGCAGATCTGATGTCGAGGTCAGAGCAGTGTGTGTGCAGTGTGTGTGTGTGTGTGTGTGTTCATGCAACTGCAACATGTGCTGCGTGTACAGTAGTGTGTAACATGTCCAAGTCAGGCATTGTAAAGATAAGATATCAATCAGTCTGACACTAAAGAATTCATTGTTCTTTTGTGTATTCTCTAGTGTGTGTGTGTGTGTGTGTGTGTGTGTGTGTGTATAGTTTGCTCTTTCACATGTTGATGCCAGGGGAACATTCCTGGAAACACGCCTGTTTACACAGGTCTCATGTCTGCAGTGTACACACACTTTCATCACATGTTCTAACCTGGACTGTTTTATGGGACGAATACTGGTCACAAGTACAAGTACATATAAAGATAGGTAAAGTATACAAGTATAGGTTCAGATATCCAGCAGCATATTTACCTCATTAATAAATCTGAGTTCTCTACCTCTGGTTTTATTATGAAAGAGTGAGGGGTCTCCTTCTTGTGGTTTTTCACAAATGATAGAAATCATACCTAAAACTGTACGTAACTATATTCGTTTATGTTATTATAGTTTCTTCAAATAGTTTTCTATCTGTGTTTTTAATGTTTTTATTTGTGTGTATGTTTATGTATGCACCACAACACCAGGTCACATTCCTCATGTGTGTTAACCTACCTGGTAATTCAACTGTTTCTGATTTATTTTTATTTGTAGACATAAGTCTACATAAGTTTTTATTTGTAGACATAAGTCATTTTGGGTTTGGACATTGTAAATGTCCAAACCCAAAATGAGGTGTTAATATGTACAAATAGGAGTTAATGTACATACCAGATCAGTGTGTGCATTCATCTAAAGCAGGGGTCTCCAACCTTTCTTCATCTGAGAGCTACTTTCAAAAAATGAAAGTGGCCAAGAGCTACTTGCATCACATCGCTTACATTTATTCACATAGCCCTCATCAGTTGAATTAAGCTATACTTTTGTACACGTGTGAAATTGCAATACCTAAAGCTTATCAAAAATAAGGTCCAAGAAAACGAAGATTTCTCACATATTATTATGGCCCACATAACATATATCATAAGTACATCACTGAACATTCACATAAGTGTCCTTAATCACCACCTTACAAGCATTTCACTCTTTTGTTAGTGAGATTAATGGCACTGCATACAGTCCACCATAGAGGTGTATGCTGGACCCACTTAGGTTCACTTAATAGAGTCATTTAAATGTTCATCAGTCGGTCTTGTTCTGTATTTAGATTTCATTCATGTCAGAAAAAGCTGCTTCACAAAGGTATGTAGAACAGAACCAAATAAAGCAGACATTTTCAGTGCTGCTTGGTGAATGTTCTTATAGTTTTCTGGGTCTACAAGGCTCCAGAAATGTTGTGAGTTTTGCTGAGACTTAAGCTGAACATTATTTTGGAGATCTCCACAGGATTGACACTGAACAGTTGTTCAGCCATCTTTTTCTTCTTCTTCTTCGTCTTGACATTAAATTATAAACCATAATAAATCAATTGTATAGGTCTAGCCTCCCTATATCTGTGTGTGAAAATGGTTCCATCCTCAAAAACAAAAAACTAATACTTCTGCAGTCTAGCTGCAGCTTCTAGCAACGGTCTTCTGTTAAAAAAAAAGACACACATGACTTGAGTCTGAAAACAGCAGGAGTATTTACAATAGCATTATAAAAACAAAAATAGTGCATGTGGGTGCACACTTACATTCTCTGTCTTACTGTTACATAAATCCCATGAATGTATGAGATTAAGTTAGCTTCATCATATCTCAATCAGTGATTAAGTGAATAATAAAGTTTCTATCGGGTCACTATCAGCCTGTCACTCATTATTTTCAGGGAGGGGGCGGGGTTTGGAGGAACGGAGAGGAGACGGTGATCGCGGAAGCTTTCCTCCTGCCTTCACAAACTTTACACAAGTATTTATCAACTGAAAATAGCAAGAGGACATTCATACTCTGCAATCCAAGACTTGATTAAATTCACCAAAAACCTGACATGACGATAACGAGTGTTTTTCAAAAAACACAAATCCCTCCCTGTGTGTCTCTGAGGCGCAGCGACAGGGCCTGATTCAGAGCGGGTCATTCTGCTGTTAGTTCTGGACTCGTGCTGGTGGAGAAAGCAGACTGCTCCGTGTGTGTTGTCGCTGTGCTGCTGTCACGTCTGTTCCTTGATCTCTGCGTCACCGACCATTTGATATTCGTGTGACAGAAAAAAATCTAAAATAAAAAAACGTTATTGTCCAGCCGCGGCCGAAAAATCAATAAGCAACCTTACTACGCTATAATCGATAATCGAGCGGCGAGCTACTGAAAAGCTGCCCGCGAGCTACCGGTAGCTCGCGATCGACGTGTTGGAGAGCCCTGATCTAAAGACTGCCTGAAGAAAAAGCTGGAGGCTCCGGACACACACACACACACACACACACCATTGACTACAGACTTTACTACACTGCTATGTGTGGTTTAACCTTGCACATAGTGGCTTTGAATCCATGCCTCTGAAAGCTGATGGCTCTAAGTGTGTGTGTGTGTGTGTATGTGTGCACGTGTGTGTGTGTGCGTGTGTCTTGATTGGGACAGCCAAACTGACAGCTGAGAGTATTGATGTCTGTTCTTGTTTCTCAATTCATCGTCTTCTGTTCTTACACCGGCTATTTCAGTTCACTTTAAAAAAGATGCCAGATTATGAATTCAAATAAATACGATTCTGTTTTTGAGTTTGAACAGTGATGCTACAGCAGAGATCTGCCTCCCATTATGTGCACTAGGTGGTGTAGTTCTAAGCAAGAAGTTAGCATAAGCTAGGTAGCTAACAGCTGTATGGAGTTATTTTGAAAGCGATTAGCTTAATTTACATTTAGTTGACCCCAAGGCCTATCGGATGGTGACGTGTGACTGTGCTGTAGTTCCTTTATAGCCCAACATTAGCCACCTTTAGCTTAGCGGTGGTGACCTGAAGTCATGTGACCGTGCTGTAGTTCCTTTATAGCCCAACATTAGCCGCCTTTAGCTTAGCGGTGGTGACCTGAAGTCATGTGACCGTGCTGTAGTTCCTTTATAGCCCAACATTAGCCACCTTTAGCTTAGCGGTGGTGACGTGAAGTCATGTGACCGTGCTGTAGTTCCTTTATAGCCCAACATTAGCCACCTTTAGCTTAGCGGTGGTGAAGTGAAGTCATGTGACCGTGCTGTAGGTCCTTTATAGCCCAACATTAGCCTCCTTTAGCTTAGCGGCGGTGACCTGAAGTCATGTGACCGTGCTGTAGTTCCTTTATAGCCCAACATTAGCCACCTTTAGCTTAGCGGTGGTGAAGTGAAGTCATGTGACCGTGCTGTAGTTCCTTTAGAGCCCAACATTAGCCACCTTTAGCTTAGCGGTGGTGAAGTCATGTGACCGTGCTGTAGTTCCTTTAGAGCCCAACATTAGCCACCTTTAGCTTAGCGGTGGTGACCTGAAGTCATGTGACCGTGCTGTAGTTCCTTTATAGCCCAACATTAGCCACCTTTAGCTTAGCGGTGGTGACCTGAAGTCATGTGACCGTGCTGTAGTTCCTTTATAGCCCAACATTAGCCACCTTTCGCTTAGCGGTGGTGAAGTGAAGTCATGTGACCGTGCTGTAGGTCCTTTATAGCCCAACATTAGCCTCCTTTAGTTTAGCGGTGGTGACCTGAAGTCATGTGACCGTGCTGTAGTTCCTTTATAGCCCAACATTAGCCACCTTTAGCTTAGCGGTGGTGAAGTGAAGTCATGTGACCGTGCTGTAGTTCCTTTATAGCCCAACATTAGCCACCATTAGTTTAGGGTGAAGTCATGTGGAGATTATGCTGATGAACTAAACGTTAAGTATCATAAACGTTGAGATTATTTTCTGACAAAATCACATGGAGGAATCTCATTGGACGAGGAGATGCTGCCTTCAGGGACCAACACAGAAACACTGCACCTCTCTACAGTAAAACAAAACAACCAAAACGTTTTTATACCAATTATTTGATACTTTTATTTCCATTTATAAGTATTCATCACGAGTCGACAATGTATATTACAGCTCAGCGCTCTGGACTACAGGTTGATGCATGTCAACGGCACAGGGAGGAACGGGGGAATAAGACTGAGGGACATTAGATAAGCCTAAAACAGGGGGGAAAGAGAGGAGGACACTTTTGTTACTGCCACCATTTCCCAAATTCAGCCCAAATCATCTCGAGGTCACCATCTTCATCACAGTCTTCATCGTTTTCATCTTTCAGTCCAGTGTGCAGAAGGGAATGCTGGGAACTGGAGGACTCAGTGCAGAGGACCTGAGAGGAAAAGAGCTGTTCATTATAATAATAATAAGTATTTATTCCACACATTTTACTCTATTTTTTCTAGCGCATTGTGGAAAGGAGTAGAGAGATAGAGATAGATAAAATATATATATGTTTGAGGTCTTTGTTGAAACGTTTCCATTTGATGACTCAGGGAACACTGATATAGCACAAGCTGATGAAGAGCTCATTACATTTGGATCTGATCCAAAGCACAGAGCAGATAAACATTCCTTTTCACTTTCATTAATGAATCAGTTGGTTTTCTTCTACTCCGATTAATTAAAGTACTCATTATGCAGATTGGATATTTTGAAACAATATATACTTTGCATAATACAGAATGATTAGTGACAGAGAAGGGAGAAGTACTCAGATCTTGTACCTGAGTAAAAGTAGAAGTACTCAGATCTTGTACTTGAGTAAAAGTAGAAGTACTCAGATCTTGTACTTGAGTAAAAGTAGAAGTACTCCGGTCTTGTACTTGAGTAAAAGTAGAAGTACTCAGATCTTGTATTTGAGTAAAAGTAGAAGTACTCAGATCTTTTAGTAAAAGTAGAAGTACTCAGATCTTTTAGTAAAAGTAGAAGTACTCAGATCTTGTACTTGAGTAAAAGTAGAAGTACTCCGGTCTTGTACTTGAGTAAAAGTAGAAGTACTCAGGTCTTGTACTTGAGTAAAAGTAGAAGTACTCAGATCTTGTACTTGAGTAAAAGTAGAAGTACCAGAGTGTAGGAATACTCTGTTACAGTAAAAGTCCTACATTCAAAATGTTCCTCAAGTAAAAGTAGAAAAGTATTCTCATCAAAATATAGTGAAAGTAGCGACAGTAAAAGTAGTCATTGTGCAGATTGGTCCATTTCAGAATAATATATATGATATGTTTTATAATGATTGATCATGAAAGTGTTCTCAAAGCTGGTAAAGGTGCAGATAACTGCTGGACTAAGTATGAATGAATGAATGAATGAGTGAGTTTCTCATGTTCTCACATCGGGGGGGGGGGGCGTCTCCACCTCATGACGCCTCAGCGCTGCTTTTTACGCAGGCAGCGAACGCCTCCATCAGATCTTTGCAGCCTTCAGCTCCTTTCTCTGCAACGCTGAGGAGAGAGAGAGAGACGTTAGAGGAAGAAGGAAAGGCATTTTGAAGCAGAGCAGTTTCCTTAAAACACGCCGTGATACTCTGAGGAGTGAGTCTGAGGAGTGAGTCTGAGGAGTGAGTCTGAGGAGTGAGTCTGAGGAGTGAGTCTGAGGAGTGACTATGAGGAGTGAGTCTGAGGAGTGACTCTGTGGAGTGACTCTGTGACTGAGGAGTGACTCTGAGGAGTGACTCTGAGGAGTGACTCTGTGGAGTGACACTGAGGAGTGACTCTGTGACTGAGGAGTGACTCTGAGGGAGTGACTCTGAGGGAGTGACTCTGAGGAGTGACTCTGAGGAGTGACTCTGAGGAGTGACTCTGAGGGAGTGACTCTGAGGGAGTGACTCTGAGGAGTGACTCTGAGGGAGTGACTCTCAGGGAGTGACTCTCAGGGAGTGACTCTCAGGGAGTGACTCTGAGGGTGTGACTCTGAGGGTGTGACTCTGAGGAGTGACTCTCAGGGAGTGACTCTGAGGGAGTGACTCTCAGGGAGTGACTCTCAGGGAGTGACTCTGAGGAGTGACTCTGAGGAGTGACTCTGAGGAGTGACTCTGAGGGAGTGACTCTGAGGGAGTGACTCTGAGGGAGTGACTCTGAGGGAGTGACTCTGAGGGAGTGACTCTCAGGGTGTGACTCTCAGGGTGTGACTCTCAGGGTGTGACTCTCAGGGAGTGACTCTCAGGGAGTGACTCTCAGGGAGTGACTCTCAGGGAGTGACTCTCAGGGATTGACTCTGAGGAGTGACTCTGAGGAGTGACTCTGAGGAGTGACTCTGAGGAGTGACTCTGAGGAGTGACTCTGAGGAGTGACTCTCAGGGAGTGACTCTGAGGAGTGACTCTGTGACTGAGGAGTGACTCTGAGGAGTGACTCTCAGGGAGTGACTCTGAGGAGTGACTCTGAGGAGTGACTCTGAGGAGTGACTCTGTGGAGTGACTCTGTGGAGTGACTCTGTGACTGAGGAGTGACTCTGAGGAGTGACTCTGAGGAGTGACTCTGAGGGAGTGACTCTCAGGGAGTGACTCTGTGGAGTGACTCTGTGACTGAGGAGTGACTCTGAGGAGTGACTCTCAGGGAGTGACTCTGTGGAGTGACTCTGTGACTGAGGAGTGACTCTGAGGAGTGACTCTGAGGAGTGACTCTCAGGGAGTGACTCTGAGGAGTGACTCTGTGACTGAGGAGTGACTCTGAGGAGTGACTCTCAGGGAGTGACTCTCAAGGAGTGACTCTGAGGGAGTGACTCTCAAGGAGTGACTCTGAGGGAGTGACTCTCAAGGAGTGACTCTGAGGGAGTGACAGATAGCAACTGGAAGAGGAACGTAGTTTTGCGGAGTCAAACTATATAACCGTTTTATATGTTCTGTTTCCTGAGCTGACCGGACGGACAAATGTGGGAGAATCTGAGTCATTTTATTTCATCCATTCAGTGCACATTTTTACTTTAGTCTCTCATGTTTATATGAATATTTGTTACGTATTTGCAGACTTTTGCTCGCCTTAAAGAGTGCACATTGACAATAACTGCCAGGATGCAACTCCTTCACAACCCCTTTAAAAAGTGACAACATATCTATTAGAAATCTCCCCAAATATTAAATATGCAACGGCTGACTTGGATGGAAACACTGAAGGATTAGATAAAAGTGAGACACAGACAGAGTGAGAGAGAGAGAGAGGGAGAGAGAAAGAGAGTGAGAGAGAGAGAGTGAGAGGGGGCAAGAGAGAGAGAGGGCGAGAGAGAGAGAGGGGGCGAGAGAGAGAGAGAGGGGGCGAGAGAGTGAGAGGGGGCGAGAGAGAGTGAGCGAGAGAGAGGGGGGGAGAGAGAGGGCATTGTGATGCAACCATCTGTAAGAGAGAGGTTGCAGAGACGAGACGACAGAGGGTTAGAGGAGGGGCTTCATGGATACAGACCCTCTAACTCCCAACACACTAAATATCCTCCTATTAAAAGAAATCCCGTTAGCATCTTTAAATGTCCACAATTCCAGCTTTCGAGTTTTAAGACAGAATTTGGGTGATTTTTGAACATAAAATAAAGACATGATCTTTATTTCGTTGGAGCTTTGAGACGCAGCAACAGGAAAGAGTGATCATCTTTCACTCCAAATGCTGACAACTACATTTCCCACAATGCAACGCCAGAAGCGAAGACATCACTTCAGTCATTATATAACTTTATTATGTAATTTGTCCAGCCTTATGTGATCTTTTAAACACAAAGCAGTAGAAATATCATATCATTATATAATAACAACAACAACGACAACAATATTATATTTTAATGTCGTCTGCTCCACAGGGTCACATCTCTGCGTCTTTATCTCTTTATAACGTTGTGATGTAACACACAGCTGGCTGCAGCAGATTATCACTCTGCAGCCGAGTGTGTGTGTGTGAGCGTGTGTGTGTGTGTGTGTGTGTGCATGTGTGTGTGTGTGTGCATGTGTGTGCATGTGTGTGCGTGTGTGTGCATGCATTTCTACCGGTCAGTATTTGACACGCTGCATCGATGACCCAACATCCGAGAGTCTAACCCCGAGGGTGTGTGTTCAGATAATCCAGCCACACACACACACACACACACACACACACACACACACAAACACAGAGAGACACACAGACGTATGTACCTCCATCCCGAGAGGAATTACATCCACAGATCAGATTCTAATCAGCAGATATTATGTAAAGCTGAATGCGTGGGCTGTACCTTTTCAAAATAAAAGCATGCAATATAATGAACACTTTTAATTGGTTTTGCTGCAGATTCTCTGATTCTACATCCAGAGGAAGTGCAAACAGGGGCTTTATAGAAGGCCTGAATGCAGGGAGGTCACATGTACATAGTGAGGGGGGGGGGGGGAAGTAATGAAAGACCACTGCAGCCATTACGCAATCCTTCAGAGAAATAACGACTCAGCAAAGTCACGTTAAGAGGTCATTGGGCAAAGTCAAACAATGATCTCTCAGTCAAAAAAACATTTAGTTTAGCAGAATAATCTCTACATACTAACATCACTTTATGAGTTCTGAAGTAAGAAGCTAATGTTGGGCTATAAAGGAACTACAGCACGGTCACATAACTTCATGTTAGGGCTGCTCGATTATGGCAAAAATCATAATCTCGATTATTTGGGTCAATAATTGATATCACGATTATTAAAAACGATTATCCATTTACTTTGAAAACATCAATTTATTGGAGAAAATAAATTTGAACAGTTGATTACCCTGAACTGTAAGTATAATTCAGCTGAAAAAAAAAATGTATTAAAAAAAGAAAGAAAGTAATAATAATAAAAAAAAATTCGTTTTATTTCGATTACGTTGTTTTCGTAATCGTTGCAAGCCATAATCGTAATCGCGATTAATTGAGCAGCCCTACTTCACATCACCACCGCTAAGCTAAAGGAGGCTAATGTTGGGCTATAAAGGAACTACAGCACGGTCACATGACTTCACCACCGCTAAGCTAAAGGAGGCTAATGTTGGGCTATAAAGGAACTACAGCACGGTCACATGACTTCACCACCGCTAAGCTAAAGGAGGCTAATGTTGGGCTATAAAGGAACTACAGAACGGTCACATGACTTCACATCACCACCGCTAAGCTAAAGGTGGCTAATGTTGTGCTACAAAGGAACTACAGAACGGTCACATGACTTCATGTCACCACCGCTAAGCTAAAGGTGGCTAATGTTGTGCTACAAAGGAACTACAGCACGGTCACATGACTTCACGTCACCACCGCTAAGCTAAAGGAGGCTAATGTTGGGCTATAAAGGAACTACAGCACGGTCACATGACTTCACGTCACCACCGCTAAGCTAAAGGTGGCTAATGTTGGGCTATAAAGGAACTACAGCACGGTCACATGACTTTACGTCACCACCGCTAAGCTAAAGGAGGCTAATGTTGGGCTATAAAGGAACTACAGCACGGTCACATGACTTCACGTCACCACCGCTAAGCTAAAGGTGGCTAATGTTGGGCTATAAAGGAACTACAGCACGGTCACATGACCTCAGATCTAAATGATGTCCACTAAAGGCAGATTGGACGTTCTTCCTCGGACACAATCAGGAAATGAATGTGAATTATTCAGAGCGTCCTCGGAGACAAACATACATAATGCAACAGACTGAGGATGTGGGCCAAATATGAGCCAAGAGATCATGTGATTAAGGAGTGGCCGTATCGTAAGACATCTTAATAAAGCTTTCCTGTGGACTTCAGGACAGTGGAATAAAGAAATGCCAACATGTGACCCTTCCTCCGTTTATATAATGTAATAGGAATGCATTTTATCTGTTCTTCCAGTATTAATAGTCTCATTTCCCCTCAGATTTAACTCGAGAGGGTCTACTCTGCTCTGCTCAGAATCCTACATTTATCCTGGGGGAATTAGGTTGCGTGGCAGTTGCTCCATTTAAAATAAAGAAATACAAGTTAATTGAAGTCAGAGAGAGAAGCCAACCGTACTCAATATTTGCTCGACTGCAGAAAATGAAAAGATTTGTTAACCCGTTTCCTGAATTGTGACCTTGTTTTTAACTGAAATTGGCTATAAAATATATTCTATAGTGTTTTATTCGTCCGATATATTTTCTTCTTTTTAATGCCGTTTAATTTCCATTTTGAGATGTTTAAATTGTTTATTTCTACTCTTATGCAATGCCTTGAGGCGGTGGTGGCGAAGTCCATAGGGAGTTGGCTTGGCAACTGGAAGGTCACCAGTTCAAGTCCCGGAAAGACCAAGTGCTACCGAGGTGTCCCTGAGCAAGGCACCGTTCCCTACACTGCTCCCCGGGTGCCGTTCATAATGGCAGCTAGGGCTGTGCGATTATGGCAAAAATCATAATCACGATTATTTTGGTCAATAATTGATATCACGATTATTAAATACGATTATTCATTGACTTTGAAAACATCCATTTATTGAACTTTAAAACAAATACAAATA